CACTTCGGCCCTAAATGAGCTTGCTCGGGCTGGGGTGTATCCTTTGCAGCGCGCAGCAGGATTTGCCGAGTACTTGAAGACACGATCGAAGCAGATGAGCAACTTGCTGGCGAGTGAATCTATGGGCTACCTCGAGAAGGTTTCTGGGATGTGGGCTGGTGGCGGCAAGCATTACGGAGAATCCGAGAATATACTCGCGGATGACCAGGCGGTTGATCCCGAAGACCTCGAGGCTGGTTGCAAAGACGGTGACCGATTTCGTGAACACTTTGCCCTTCCACCAAGTGAGAAGTTGCAGGCATCGTACTTTGCGTGGCTACATCGGATGATCCCACTATACGGCAAGATCTATATTAGCCAGAAAAAGCTGTGCTTTCGCAGTCTTATGCCCGGGACTCGTACGAAGATGATCCTTCCGCTTAAGGATGTCGAAAATGTGGACAAGGAAAAAGGGTTCAACTTTGGCCGCCATGGGCTTGTTGTCGTCATTCGAGGCCACGAAGAGTTATTTTTCGAGTTTGGCACAGCTGAGATCCGAGATGATTGCGCTGTCACGCTGCACAAAGGTCTTGAGTCTACGAAATTCTTGATGGCGTCCGGACTACTTGCAGAGTGCGAGGAGAAGGATGAGTCTGAATCGGCCAGAGCAGAGCACCGTTTACTACAGGAGGCCAGGTTGGACATCACTGGTATGCAGAGTTCCCGCTCGGCGATGACTGAGTCCAACGAATTGCATCCCATCTTTGATGACCCTCGCGCCTCCATCATCAACTTCAAGCCCACCGAATCTTTGAGGATTACGTGTCTTACAATAGGTTCCCGTGGTGACGTTCAACCGTACATTGCCTTGTGTAAGGGTCTTCTTGCCGAAGGGCATAGGCCCAAGATTGCAACTCACGCGGAGTTTGAACCTTGGGTGAGAAAGCATGGCATTGACTTTGCGCTCGTTGATGGAGACCCGGCAGAACTTATGCGGATATGTGTAGAGAACGGAATGTTCACCTACTCGTTCTTCAAAGAAGCAACAGCGAAGTTCCGGGGCTGGATTGACGATTTGCTGTCCTCTGCGTGGAAAGCTTGCCAGGACACCGACCTCCTCATTGAATCCCCGAGCGCAATGGCCGGAATACACATCGCCGAGGCGCTCCGGATTCCGTATTTCCGCGCCTTTACAATGCCTTGGTCAAGAACCCGGGCATATCCTCATGCATTTGCGGTTCCTGAGCACAAGATGGGCGGTGCATACAACTACATCACCTACGTCATGTTCGACAACGTCTTCTGGAAATCGGTTGCAGGTCAGGTAAACCGCTGGCGGAAGAAAGAGCTGGGCTTGAAGGCCACCGGTCTGGATAAGATGCAGCCGAATAAGGTTCCATTCCTCTACAACTACTCGCCCACCGTGGTGCCGCCACCGTTGGATTATCCGGACTGGATTCGCATAACCGGGTACTGGTTTCTTAGTGAGGGTTCTGACTGGACCCCTCCAGCGGAACTGGTTGACTTTATCCAACGTGCTCGCAAGGATGACAAGAAGGTTGTTTATATTGGGTTCGGGTCAATTGTTGTGTCCGATCCTTCCGCTCTCACACGCACCGTCATCGAATCTGTCCAGAAGGCCGATGTCCGCTGCATCCTGTCCAAGGGTTGGTCAGATCGTCTAGGAGACCCGGCTAGTGCCAAGTCAGAGGTCCCTCTGCCGCCGGAAATCATCCAGATTCAATCGGCACCCCATGACTGGCTCTTCTCGCAGATCGATGCCGCCGCGCACCATGGCGGCGCTGGAACTACTGGGGCAAGTCTGCGTGCCGGTGTTCCTACCATTGTCAAGCCGTTCTTTGGCGACCAATTCTTCTTTGGAACGCGAGTTGAAGACTTGGGCGTGGGCATCTGTTTGAAGAAGCTGAACGTGACGATGTTCTCTCGGGCTTTGTGGGAGGCTACCCATGACGAGCGCATGATCGTCAAAGCCCACAAATTAGGAGCGCAAATTCGAAGTGTAAGTCGTATGTAATCTAGTCATATTGCCCTGCTAATGATTGAACAGGAGGATGGGGTGGATACGGCTATTCAAGCGATCTACCGTGATTTGGAGTACGCCAAAACCCTGGCTCAAGCGCGCTCCAATGTATCGTCGACGCCGTTCTCGCCCACACCTTCGGCGAAGACGGTGGCAGAACAGGAAGCGGACGAGGACGTACCCGAGGAGGAGTGGACGATTGTCGAGGACGATACCGAGTTGGACATGAGGCCGACTGTCGCCTGATGTGGATACTATGATAGCGTGTTGACGGACTCGAAGCGAAGCATGAACTGCTAGGTGACGAGATGTTTCCGTCGTATGACTTACGAATTGTGGCATTTGCTCTGTTCGATGATATATGGTTTTAATATTGCTTACGATTCGGCTTCCCCACTTTGGGCTTACATGGGTCTGGTTGAGAAACATATGCTGCGATTGATGATTTATGAGATGCACAGCTGCTGGCATGACCTAATATATTTTTACTTGCTGTTGAGCTAGTGTTTGGATGAGCGTGCGAGGGTCCCATGTTATTTTTCGGCGATTATAGACCATATAATGGCACGGCGCATTGCAGATATTTATAATGGATCTACTGTTGTTGATTGTAATCATCATCACATAGACTTTTATTTTCAAATGCCTGCTTTTGACACTAAATACATGCAAAAGGGTAGTCGGAGACAAACCAGAAACAACACAAAAACAGTACATTAAAAGTATCATATCATATCTCTCTAATAAAATGATATCAAGCAGCCTTCTCCCCTTCCTCATCACCCTTACCTTCAGCCTTTTCTTTCCGTCTCTGCACCACATCCCAATTATAGACTCTCGCCGTCGCAACCTCCAGCGTCTACACACACGCACAAACCATTAGCCCCAACCATAACAATAAAAATGGAAGAAAAAAAAATAAAAAAAAAGAATAAGCATACCGTAATCTGCTCCCTCAAAAACTCCAAATCCTCCTCACAATTGGCCAGACTCTTCTGCGCCGCAGCCAACTTCTCATCCAACATGCTCTCAGCCTCCTCAATCGGGTACGCAAGCATCACATTCGCTCCGAGCCAGAGATACACTTCCTCGGTATCAGCGGGGGAGACCGTCGCGCGAGCGTACAATGTATCGTTCAATTCGAAGTTGGTTTCGAGTGCTGAGGCACTTGCATTTTCTCTTCTAAGTTTCAGGAATCGCACCATCTCCAATGTCTTCTTGATGTCGGGGATCTTGTCGCGGAGACCCTGGGCCCGGCGCTGCGTGTTGACTTCCATGAATTGGTACTTCGAGATCATCTCTTGGAAGGACCGTAGTGTCGGTTCCACTTCGCTCCGCGACGATACGTAGTCTGCTACATTGTCGACGAAGGGCGCGGCGGGGATGCCGCGCGGGTTGGTGGGGGGTGTTACTCTGGTTTGATGGTCCCCGGGGAGAGAAGGGGAAAAGGGTTAGTGGTGGTTCTCTTAAGAGGGTTGGGGTGTGGTTTGGGGATATTTGGGCTGGGATGGTAAAGAGGGGAGGGGTTGTTGTGTGGTATAAGAAGGGTGAGTTTTGATGTACGGGATGTGGACTACTCACGAGGAAGTCTTCTTGTCTGCCATGGTGAACAGACAAGTCGGAGTATATAAGTTAGAAAGAGGGTGAGGGCGGAAGGTAAAAGAGATGCACTGCAGGCCGCGGAGGAGAGAGAGAGCGAGGAATAATGATAATGATGGAGTGGGGGAGTTGATTGCCTGTTCGGGAATGGTGTCATCTGCGGCGATCTTCATTATCGTCAACATACTATCTACTATCTACAACTATTCTTCCTTTCTCTTACCTACGCAACTAAACGAACATAATGTTTTATAAAGATATATAACATCTACACAATGGTCCTCCTAACAACAACATCCCCCATCCTCTCCGCCATCAAGGCCCTCCCTCCTACCTCGCGACATGACTTCTCCCTCCCCGATACCTTGAATCTAGAGGACCCAATCTCCCACGACCAATTGATCAAGATAGCTCGCTACTTCCGACAAAAACCTACCACAGACTCTTCATCTTCTATTGACAGAAGCAAAACCCTGAACTCCCTCCTCCGCGGAACAAAAGTCTACGTCCCTCCTCCGCCAAAGAAACCCGAGCCGGTAAGCACCTATCCCAACACTCCATACACTACCTCCCCCAACACGATCCACAAACTAACACAAATGTACTATGATAAATATAGTCCCCCGAATACCTCGCCCTCAAAGCGCGCCTCCTCGCCGCCGCCGAAACAGACGCCTACAACCGCATGACCTCCTCATCCTTCAGCTCGTCCAGTTTCTTCCCTCCATCCTCCAGAACAGCATCAGCAAAACCCTCAATCTTCACCTCCTCCACACCAACCCTTGAAGCACTCCACAACAAACATAACCCTAACAATGATGATAACGAGACAGACCCCCTCACTCCCGGCCTCGTGCTCAACATCTTCCTCTCCGTCCTGATCACCGGGTTCAGCGTGTACTGGGCGCTGCGGAGTTTCCGGTCCCCGGAGATGCTGGTATCTACTGTGGCGAGGGTGTGGAGGGGCAAGGGCACAGGACAGGGGGTGTCGGAATCGGTGAAGGTGTTGGTGTCGTTGGGGGCGGCGGTGGTGGTGGGCGTGGCGGAGGTGATGATTTATGCGATTTATCTGAGGAAGGTGGAGGTTGCGAGGGGGAGGGAGAGGAGGGTGAAGGAGAGGAAGGTGGTTGTGGGGAGTGAGAGGGTTGGTGGGGGGAAGAGTAGGGAGGGTGGTGAGGATGGAGGTAATGGGGAGAGGGTTGGGGAGGCGGATAAGGAGGAAGAGGTTATTTGGGGGAGAGGGGTGAATGGGGGGTTGAGGAGGAGGGTGAGGGAGAAGTGGGAGGAAAAGGAGAAGGATAGTATGAATATGGACAAGCAGAGGGATAAGAGTGAGTGAAGAGCGTATACTGTTAGGGTTGATGTGGTGTGTTCTATGTAGTATATATTACTGTATAATGGACTAATGATGGACATATGCACTATGGTTGGTAAGATTGCATCAATAAGAACCTGTGCTAACTACTGCTCTGAAGCAATATCATCATCTTGCTCAAGCTCAGCAACTCTCTCCATAGCATCACCCCCCATATTCCCCGAAAACTCTCTGAACATCAAATTAGCCTCGCAGTATTCCGGGTCCTCGAAAGTCGTATTAAGCCACTTCAGCATATCCTCCCACGCCTTAGGCATGACACACTCGGTAATCAGCGGCTCGCCAGACGAATAGCAGTTGCACCCATGATGCTCAGGAGCAGGAACAGGCAGCCCGAGATCCTGTTCAGACAGGATATACCCACGGCAACGCGAGGAGACGAAGCTCACAAACGAAGAGGGGTCCTTTGAATCTTTACCATCCTTGTCTCCGAAGTCAACGCCAATCCGGTGGAATGGACTGGTGAGACAGATTGCTGATATATAGGGACGCCATGCTTCCCCTATCATTTGTTAGCCAGATACCAGACAACCAATTACCAAAGACCCTTGTGTCAAGAGGTATAAACCTACAATTACTCCCCAAATACCGAATAACACCCAACCCCCCATCATCCAACCCAACCACCCCAATCTTCGCATCAGGCCTAACCAGCCGACCCCGAGCAGCCAAAATCTCCTCGAACACATACTGAATATGTTCCTGCCAGTCACCATTCCCAGGGATCTTGTTCCGACGAGTCATAACCAGCGGCGGATCTACCGCCGACTTTCGAGGAACGCAATGCCAGGACGTCAATGTCATCGCTTGACCAGAGCCACAGTGCCACACCAACTGCCCCGTGTTTGCCAGGACAAGAGCCGTGTCTTTCTGATCCAGAACAGCCCGCGCAAATTGAACAGCCGACCCGACCTCAATCCCATCGCTGCTGAGAGTCCGGTAAGCCCAGATGCCAAGGTCCTGTATAGGCTCCCCGAACGCAACGATGACGCGGGTGGCAGTGGACAGGTTCTTGGAGATGAGGATGGGCACATGCGCATCGGTAGGTCGAGCTGTAAGTGGAAGCCGTAGAGTGATGAGCCCGAGGTTGCGAAGACGGGAGAGGACAATGTTGCGAATGCATGCTATATAGTGGTTAGTATACGAAGAACAATGTCTTTCCTTTTCTGAAGATATTCGCATACTGTTCATGGCCTCTCGCTGCATCTCATTCCAGCGCGCGTTCCTGTTGATCTTGAATTGGAACTCTTCTTTTGGCGCGGAGATCTTTCGGATCTGGTCATCTTCAGTGATGAAGTACCTGGCTTTGGTTAGTAGATGGACTGATTTCAATCTGTCTCAGTCCCTCTTACCCCAGTTTCTCCAGATCCGCGGGGAATACAGGCTCCGCAGGGAGGTCCTTTCGGCTGAAGACGAACATTCTGGCGAGTGTAGTTTGACGATGACGAGAGAACGAGCGAGTGAGTAACAGTGAGTGGATTGAACAAAAGAGAGAGAGATGAGATATGGAGACAGAGACAACAGATCTAGAATAAAAGCAACGGCAAGAGCAAACAGAAGAACCAGAAAGAAACTGCAACTTCCCCCAACCAATGCCAGTGAATTTTGAGTGAAGCCAAGTGCAGGCGTTTGTCAATGCATAGCTTAGTAGTACTTCATGTAACACCCGCCCTTCACTGCGCAGACCAATCGACAAGATCCGACGGTGTCACATTCAGCTATGGATGATGCCGAACATAATCCCCGAAAATAGCCACACCCACTGTAACTCCCCTCTCTGGTAGTTCTGTAGATCAGAGACCAGCTCAAATAAGCACATGACCCCAAGACGATGAAAAAGATATATCTTATTCCTCATCATCATCTAACAAAAACCCTAATATACAAGTCCTCTGACCAACACAAGGAAACGGAGGAAAAGTTGAAAACAAACGCCTTTCAGGAAGAACCCGCCGAACCCAATGAAAACTACCACAAATATATGTATTCTTTTCGCATAAATTTCCCATACTAGGTGTTTACCAACTGGCCTTCTTCACACCGGGAAGTTCACCGGCCAGCGCCTGCTGACGGAATTGGTACTGCACACACCAACTATTAGCACTGATCCAGTCAAGAGACTCCTCCGTGAGGGGAGACTTACTCTACCAAGTCTAAATGCCCGGATAACACTGCGAGGAACACCACCCGCCACACAGCGGTTCTTGATCTGCGTCGAGCGAGTGTAGGCGTGCATGGAAGCGAGCTGGAGCTGAGCCTGGGCGCGCACACGCTGGGGGAGGGAAGTGTTGTGGATCACATAGCGGAGAGCTTGACTATTATCCAGAAGATAGCAATTAGTAGCTGTTTAGCTGGTTTGATCGAATGGGTTGGAATTACCGTTCCGGCTCGAATTGCTCGAAAACCTTCCGCTTGGTGTGGTCGCGGACAACACGGGGGTTGATAAACCCGCCGAGGTCGAGGATCTTGGACCGGAAGTGCGACATGTTGACCTGGTGAAAGGGGGGTTTCCTGGCGCTGATTTGGCTTGAATGCGATTTGGGGAATGGATTTGATGGCCGGAGGTTTTGGCCGGAGCGGCGAAAGTCACGGGAGTCGGGATGCGGATTGCCTGTTTGGGTTAGGGGCATCTGTCTCTTTTCGCCCGGATGGGGGGAGAATTTTGTTGGATATACTGAGTATAAGGGTACTTTTGTAATGCAAGAATTGAATAATTTATATTATGATGTGCTATATATGATGAAACCATTTTTGGATCGTATGCTTATTTCTGGCCAAGGTCGCGGAAAGTATCTTTGGTATCTTGTGCCTTGACCGTGCAACGTATGTGCGCTATCAAAATCTAGGTCTACTTCGAAGCTCTGTACGCACTAGCCTAGAGGCAGAATGGACGGTAAAGGATTATACTTTCAACATTGTAGCAATAGAACTCAGCCTGTAATTGCACGCCATAAGCATAGTCACTCGTTATGATCATTCTAATGGCCATCCTAAGCTAGCAGACCAACATATACTTCCAATACTCTACCGTGCACACAAAGACCTGCAGCACGCCACACTACGTCTATGCAAACAATTCCAAGGTCCCATATTTCGCTGTATCCACCAGGAGCCTACATACCAGCCTTTCAGCGATGCCCGCCGGCTCCGCACACTTCCCAGCAACACACCACCACCATCAAGCGGAGAAAATAGGTATACAACATATCAATTGGCAAATGTCGTATGACGGTATCTTCTATAAGCTTATACACAGTAAATGCCCGCAAACTCGACTGACCGACGAACCCGCAGCAACCGGGGCTCTCAAACCACCCACAACAGCCACGCATTCATCCGCCATATCCGCGTGCTCGGAAATTCACCCAGAGCTAATTTAATGCTTCTGGTTCTTGAGGTTGGGGTTGCGGGGGTCGTTCTTGAACTCGGCGGCTATGGTGTAACAACCGAGGTTAGCGTGCACAGTTCGGATCGAGAGAACAAGGGATTCGATGTTGGATTCAAGCGGACGCTTGATAGCATGCTGGCATCGAAGACTGTCGTGACAGGTTCACTTACTCGACATCATGACGTTGGCGAAAGAGTTGACACCGTAGAGGATGACCAGACCTGTAATTCGAAACACCGTTAGAAAGCCGCTATTACCCCTCTCTCTCAACGCGCTTCAATGGGAGCTATTCCGTCATATCCGCATAGCTATCCAGGCTAGACATAGCCATTCAACAAGGTAATAGGTGTGCATGCATACCGGCGGCGAAGAAGGGAGCCATGGGCTTGGCTAAATGAGCAAAGCAGGTCAGTTCGTATTCTCATCTCTCTCGAACCCAACATAGTGGCGCGCCAGGACCACGGCAAACGTACCAACGGGGGTGGGGAACTTCTTTCCGAGGAGAGACATGGTGGGCAGATCGTTTGATTGAAAGCGAAGTGCTGGGTATGGGAGAAAGACGGGAGTTGGAGCAGCTGGTGAAGGAGCGACGAGACGAGAGCGGGTACAACGAGGTTTGTCCGGGAGTCCGAATCCCCGGCCGCTTTAACACTTCGGGAAGGATTTGCCGCGCCGCTTTTACGGCTGCGTCTATCGCTGGGTGCCCCTCCGCAGTAAACAATCAACAATCACGATAACGATTAATCAGGACAATACACAAACACACTTTTCTTCCAGCAGATACCTTATTCTTCCTTTCAACATAATCGCAATGGCAGATCACCTCCAAGCCTCCGTCTCATCCCTCGGATCCTCCCTCCAACTCCTCGATTCCTCCATCTCCACCCTCGACTCCGGTATTAGCGACTTCCCCCGACTATGCAAGGTCTTGCAAACTACCCGAGTACGTACCCCATACCCTCCTGCTTGATATCAAAACACCCAATCTAACCCCAACAGCACTTCGAACTCCTTCCCGAACCTACTCTGCGCGAAGCTCAACAATCCCTGCTAGACGAAATCACTCCCAGCATCGCCCACCTGCTCTCACTAGCGTCGAACCATGTGGAGAAGCTCTCGCGGCGAGAACAAGGACTCAGAGCTAAATGCGAGCTGCAAGAGGGGAGAATGTACTCGAATGAGAGCCGCCAGCCCTCGAGGATGCGTAGCGCTTATGGCGACCGACTACAGAGCGCGGGCGCCTCAGGGAAGGCTGCGAAGGCGGCGGAGTTGAAACGACTGATGCAGAAGAAGGAACGGTTGCAGTATGCGGTGGAGAGGTTGGAGTTGCAGAGTACGCAGAGGGAAAGGCAGTTGAGGAAGAGTATGGCGTTTCACTAGGACTCGGCTTGAAGGATGGAAGTGATACTTGTTGAGTTTTGCGACAACTGAATTATTTTGAGCTGCTCAGGCCCCTTGGGCTGATTCTGCGAATGCAGGTTAGTCGAGGAACGGAACGAGAACATGGCCAAGGGCAGAGTGGCTACGGTATTGGGGAGGGTACACCACGCCAGGCAAGTCTTAGCCCGGATTTCGTGACGTCCAGCTAGATGTCCACCTATGGCCCTACTGCGGCTATCGCTATGTTCTGCATGTCGATGATGCATACTGAAACTGCAGGGTCGTGATGAGTCGAGGACCACCGGCGAAGATATGGCCATCGAGCCCTCAATCACTGAGCGGAAGATGGCAGAGCCGGATGACCACGCTGGGGAAACCGAGTGTTCGAGAGGAACGGTCATGCAGAAGTCTCTGGATTACTTGCAGAGGGATCTATAGAGCTGCCCCTACCGCTACGCATGATGCCCAAGCACAAGATGAATAATGGAGATTGTGCCATTGAGTGAAGAAGTCTTTTACAACCAACAGCTATGGTCTATACTACATGTCATATAACGTACAGGAATATAATACAATGACCGTCCCCAACCCACAAATGATGCTCCTAGCCAGGAAGCAATCCAAACCCTCCATACGCCACTTTTGACTCCAATGTAGATACCCGAAAAAGTCACAAGCTAGCCCAGACCCAGTGATAGTTTAGGCCGAAGGCTTCACCTGCTTCAAAGCCTGTCTGCGCTTCTTCTTCATCTGCTGCTTCTCCCAACTGGGTATCTTCTGGCCCTTCTTCTTAATCGGAGTCTGAAGATCAGGCATACTGCTGGTAGCCTCCATACCTTCCTCCAAAGCATCCTCTGCGTCTTCCTCCATCTCCTCCTTCTCAGCAGCCCGGCGAGCAAGCCGTTCCTTCCTACTCTCACCGTGCTTTTCACCGAGTCTCAGCGATCTGGCAACACGGGTCTTCGCGCCAAGAGCCCACAGGTCTCCCCACTGGGACTTGCGCGCATCCTTGTACGCTTGTCGACTGAATGATCGGGGGACGGTCCAGCGCTCGATCTTGCCGGCCGGCGTGCAAAGGTCGAAGATGACGTGACCGCGGCGCTTCATAGGTTGGTAGACGATACGGGGCAGGGAGAGGAAGTTGACGCCACCTGTTTCCTGTTGCTCTGTAGGAGGTGTAGGTTGAGTCTCGGATGCGACAGCCTCGTCTGATGATGCTTCGGCTTCTTGCTTCGGCATCTCGACTGCGTCTTCGTATCCGTCAAAGGCTGCATCTGCGGCTTCGGTGCCCTGGATGATGCTGTCCTCAACACGACGATCGACACCGCGCTGGACGGCGATGTAACTGAATTTCAGGTCCTCGTGGTTGCGGTCCTTGGCGCCGATGATGCGCTGGAGGAAGGCTGGGCGGATGTAGCGTTGTTGGAAGTGACAGTAATCTCTACGGCCCTTGGTATGACCAGGGATCTGGTACATGGGGCACTTGTTGTGGTTGGTGCAGGGGGCGACGATCATGCCGGCTTCTTTTTCGATAAATGTATCTTCTTCGGGCGATTCGGTCAAGTTTTCGTATGTGGTAGATCCGGGACTGGAGATGAATCGCTTCAGGAGCATGTCACGCGCTCCGGCAACGGCTTCGAAGCCCTTCTGGTGTCCCTTCTCGAGGAGGATCAGAACGCCTCCGTTGGGGTTCAGGAGGTTCCATAGGTTCTGTACATGTTCCTTCCGGAGGAACTCTTCCTCGATTCCGAGCAGGGAGTGTGGAGCGATGATGATGTCGTACTGTTTCCGCTTTGGCGGAGCCCGTTCATCTTGCAGGGTTGGCTTCTCGCGAACATGGACGTAGTCGGGTAGTCGCGGCAGGAAGCTGGTATCTTCGAGCATCGCACTGGCACGCAGACGAAGAGAGTCCGATCCAGTGACCACGGTCGACCGGCCCACGGGATAGGGGTCCTCTGAGCTGTGCTCTGGCGTCATGGCTTCCCACTCCGCACGAAGAATGTCTCTCCACGCCAAAACACCGGCACCACCGGCACTAACATCAAGAACATGGGGTCCCCCTTCTTGTGTCATCAGGTTCCGGATCCAGTCCGTACCCAAGCGTTTCCGGACTTCCACCAAAACACTCAGGACAGATGCATACATGCCGGGGTAGAGAGCAGCGAGGAAGACGTTGGCTTCCATTTCGCTCATGTACCGCTGAGACGCTTCTAGAGGAATCGGCTGTTGAGGAGCTTGCAAGCGTAGGGGAGGGGTTGTGGTGGAATAAGGAAGGTATTGGCCGCCGAGTGTGCGGTGGGCGGTATCCGCAATGTGCTTGTTCGAAAAGTCGGACAGGATGACAGAAATAGGGCCCGTCACGCTATCCTTGGGTATGAATATAGTGCTAGGATCGGTGGAAAACTTCCCCATTGTAGTCAAAGGATGGAATTTGGGAGCCGAGTCTGCTGCTGCTTCCTCTTCGAACTGCTCGAGCATGATCTCTCCGCCCAACTGCTCGGCAACTTCTCTCGTCCGCTGCATCGCGATCGTTTCCTCGACTGACGGCGGAGCTTCCATATCATAGACCAACGGAGGTTCGTCGTGCGTCTCAGACTCGTCCATCGCAACTTCCTCCCAGCCGCCCTCACCATCTTCACGGTATAGTTTATCCGGATCTATCTCTTCTTCCACTAGGTCCAACTCTGACTCTTGCGAAAGATAGATTGGTTCACCATACAACCGAGTATACAGCTGAGTCTCTCTATCGTTCAAGAGACCCTCCGGAAGGTATTCACCAAACTCCTGTCTTGCTTCTCGCACCCGCGCATCCAATGTTTCTTCGTCCCGGTGACCGATCGTCTGACTCAACGCATAATCGAAATCGAGACCTTCGAGGTTAAGGGCTTTCTCGTGATCGTCCAAAAGATCCAGCTCGTGCATGAGCTCAGCCATCTCCAGATCCGTTTCGTTGATCTTGTCGACTAAGGCGTAAATAGCATCTTTCTTTTCCGCATCGGGGTCGGTCTCCGTCGCTGTCGTGGACGATGCATGCCTCCGGCTGTGCACCCATGGTTGCGAACGAGCGTAGGTAGCTTCCCTGTGTAGGGATTCCAAATGTAAGGTCGATGGGAACGCTTTGCGGGCAATCGAGGTTCTGGGGCGCCCAGTTATGAAGCTCGCAGCTCCGCGGCGGAGAGACTGCGAACCGGTCTGCGGCGACCTGGATACGGCCGGACGTAAAAGGGCATAGGGATTGGAACGGGTCGCCCTGACTGCCGGAGTTCGTGACAACATCCTCAACCCTTCCACGGCTCGAGATGCAAGTATCAGGAGCTTGTACCTGAAAGAAATTGTCTCGCCACTGGAGAGCTTTTGCTAGGAAAACTCGCGCCAAGCCGCATGCCCATCAGAAATTCCGCAGCTCCTATTGGCTGTTCAGGTAACAGAGCGTTACATAATAATCTAGACCGAGTTGGTGCCTCAGGAATCACAAGAAATGGAGAGGCGCATGCATCAAAGATCAAAAGGTGGGAGGAAATGTTGGATGCATAATAATAGACCTATTTACAAAGCTGGTTATACTAGCTGGACGTACTACTGAGACTCGCTGTCCGTATCTTCGTTGCCCATGAGCACCTTGAGAGCTGATATCCACTTCAGCACTTCGTGCTCAAGAGCGGTTAGTTTGGCCATCACGGCCATAAGGCTAGGGTCCTGGCTCTCTACGCGAATCTTCTCCCTCACCTTGACTTCATCCCCCTTCCAGGTGAAGACATCGCCTGCCTCGTCGTGAGGACGATGACGGCTTCCAAACAACCGGTCCCGCAGATTGAACCCGGTGAGAGATATGTCAGTCGCGAATGCAGTTGGCGTATGGACGGGGGTGTTAGATTCTAGCGTCCTCAAATACAGGACTAAAGCCGAGTCCGCAATGGATAGATGGAATGATAAGTATGCCGGTAGCGGGGGGTCAAACATCTACGACTACAGCTTAGCCCATGATCTAGAACGAAGAGAGCAAAAGTATAGCCACTTACCTCCTCTTGCGCACTTGTCTCCCACCACTTGCCTCTAACCTTATCGCTTTCGCCCTTCAGCATCTGCCGTGCCTCACTGATCGTCTCGCGCAGGAGGTGCAGTTGGCTGTAGATGAAGCCCGCGTTGAGCGGGTCACCGGTCCAGGTGCTTACATCGACAATGTCGAGACTTTGATTGACCAAGTTTTTGACCGAGACTAGCTGATTTAGAATGAGTTCGGGTGTTGTAGGGGTATTTGCCAGGCACAAGCGGGTAGTGGCCGAGCCCCGCGAGGCAAGGGAGCTAAGACGGAGTTGGATGTCCTATAGAGGGGGTTGATTAGCGTCATCCTGGAAGCGCTATCTTGTGATAAGCAACGGCCATAGCGCGCAAAGGATGCGGGTCCATATCACTGGGCTGCATCATAAGCAATGAGAGCGAGTAGTGACAACATACGCCCTTCACGATCTTTGTCCCAACCCGAGTCACAAAGCCTTTCACATTTTCAGAGCGTAGAGAAGAGAGGACGAGTGTTGATCCCGGCTCCTTGGGTGCCAATAGAGCTGCGCATTCATGGAGGCCCTCTCGTAGCGAGGTAAGGGAGTCTTGCAGCGAACGTAATAGCCATTCTAGCTCTTTCGCCTATACCATTTGCCCAAGAAAGTCAGTACTGTCCTCGCCCTATCGATGATGCATGTGCGCCATCGGGTCGGCTCAAATTTGAGGTTCACCGGGGACGGAGAAATAAAACAGGGCATACCAACGCGGAGTCGACTTCCTGTTCTAGGCGCTCTGGGGGTAGAGGCGGGTAAGCCCAAGTAGCCATTGTGAGCAATGACCCAGCGGGTTAGTTGCAACCCTCGGGAGATCGGATGGTTGTACCTTTGGCCCGGCAGTGGTCAATGGATCGGTAGGGAGCGATGGGGGGTATGGGGGTGTGGACAGGACACGGTAGGCAGCAGGGTTTGTCTTCAGGGTCTGGTGACGAAGTCGACAGAAGAAAAAATCCGCATTGGCTTTCGAGTGATCCACGTCGATCCGAGAGGAGGAAAGGCGGGTACCCAACTCAATGGATGGATGGTGGGTGGTGCAACGTTTGTTCAGAGGACGAAAGTTGCAGCGGAAGAGGGAGTTCGACAACGTCATGGATAAGGAATCATGGGCCTCAGCGCCCAGGCCTTCAGGCAGCCTTATCCCGATATGAACTAGCGCAACGCTAAGGTTTAGACTAGCCGAGGACAGTTAGCGGGGCCTGCTGCAACCATGACGTCGACGCCGTCATGGCTGGCCAGTTTGTGCCTCGTCGATCCAAAGAAAACATTGATTCGCAGTTACGCTTATTGTTGAAGGTCACCCTCATCATTATATCACTACTATGGCTCCCCTGGTACTTTATTTCCCCCCCTCCTCCCACATTCCTCCACCGGCTTCTCCGGAAATCCACTCCCTCGCAGACAGACCCTTTCGATCCTACGTCTGTTCTTCTTTCTCTTCCCCATCTATAGGGTCTCGCATCTCTCTCTCGAATGATAGATAGATACCTGTCGCAATCAATAACTTAGCTTGTGCTGGGGACTCTTCCAATTACCGACTCAATAGCGAACTCAAAAATCTTGACAAGATACCGTTACAATGGCTCTCAGCAGTGAGTATATCCCCTGCAGGATGAGTGCCTGCTGCGTCGCACAACAACTAAACTGACACCAATGTACTCTAGGAGTTGCAATGGGCTTCCTAGGCCTGTTCTTCACGGCCGGTGCTCTTCTGTTGATGTTCCTGACTTTGTTGGGCGGAGCAAGAAACTCGCGCCCTCTGAACGAAATCTTCTTCCTGCAGGTCGACACAAGCAATATTCCAGGTGCACCATCCTTATCTCGCTGGACTTTCTGGGAGATATGTGCAGTGTCGGCGAATGGAAAGAACCAATGCGGATCGTCTTACCCTGACTTCCCATTTGATCCCCCGAGCCAGCGCAACTTTGGCACGACTGAGAACATTCCCTCTGCTTTCATCGGGTAAGCAAGAAATCAATTGCCAGACTTTCCGTCGTACGATCGCAATCTAACATTCCACAGCACGAACCACTACTTCCTCACATCTCGGTTCTCGTTCCCCTTCCTCATCATCGCGCTCTTCTTCGGCGTGGTGTCGCTGTTCACTGGGTTCCTGGCCATGTGCACACGCATTGGAAGCTATGTCTCTTCGCTGATGGCTTGGATCGCTTTGGTTTTCCAGATCATCACGACTTGCCTTATCACGTAAGTTTACCACAGAAACCAGAACAGAGCTTCACTAACAATCTCAAGTGCTGTCTACGTCCAAGGACGCAACAAGTTCAACGCCAATGGCCAGAGCGCCAGCGTGGGTGTCAAGGCTTTCGCTTTCATGTGGACCGCTGTGGCTTGCCTGATGCTTGCATGCATGTTCTATTGCATGGGTGGTGCTGTCGGGCGCAAGGAGAGGGGATACAGTGGCCGTGAGCACCGTCGCCGGGGCTTCTTCTCGTCCGCACGCTCAAACAGCGTAAGAAGCAACAAGGAGACTGCGCCATAAATTCGACATGGATTATTCAGGAAAAATTGAAAGAACTGGGCTATAGTACTTCGTCAGTACCTACTATAGTACGCCGGCCTCCGCCAATTGTTCACCTATCGGCCGCAAGCCTTATAGTCGCCCTGTCAACGCCAAAGGGTGCGTCTACCGGAGTATGGATCTGATTGTTTGTGACTTGTTCTTTGTGGGTTGATAGCCACACCCTCCTGTGCGAGAGATCAAGTGGGCTCATCCGCGCATGCTAACATTAATGTCTCTTTGATGATGGATGTCTGTTTAACTCGGCCAAGTTTCATGTATTATACTGTCGTTGCTACTTTATATCTATCCGCCCTTAATTGTAATACAATTTATCTGAAAAGAATGAACTGATACATGAAGATTAACAGAACGTGACACTTCGTAAGGATTCCATTATTCTCAATATAATAATCGGCACTGAGAAATCAACTGTATGCGTAATGTATAAGAATAGCTGATTATACTTCCTAAGCTCGATGTTGTGAAACGGATAGATTGTTACACCACTTGTCTGTTGTTACTATTCTACTTAGTATATTCTATCTATGATTATAACTGCGCTTGCATGTGCTAACTTAGGGTCACGAGGTGGAAGAATGTGCCCTACAGAAGCAGATAGTGAACTCCTACGGCACAACTTTAGTCCCATACATTGTTACTTTCTGAATATGTTAGGAAAATGAGTCTGGAAACACATCGGCTCTCTATTGTGCTTCAAAACAGCTCTATATACTTTTAAGAAGCCTTCATCGATACATCATCATCAATAAGTCATAGCAAGACAGAATGCAGAACATATTCCCTGAGTCCTGCCCGGTGCACACAATGAATGCAAAGTTAGTTGCAAAGAGGCCACAGGGGTCACAGGAGTCGTTCAACAATGGTTATAAAAATCTAGATCGATTCATAGAAGGAAAAGCATCGTTATAGTCTTGAGATGTTCAAAGATATATGAGCAAAAAAATTATACGTTAAAGGGAAATCTAGGCCTTGGGAGCCTCAACGGCACCGCGGACGGCACCTTGGCCGCCAACTTCCTTGGCCGTGATCTGCAGACCAAGGTCAGCGTTGACGTGAATCATCAGCTCAACCTTGCTGCCAGCCTTGACGCCCTTGACGGCCAGCTCAGCAATGGGCTTCTCGGTCTTCCAGACGAGCTCACGGATCTCCTCCTCTTCCTCCTCATCGGAGTCGAAGTCAGAGTCATCCTCATCCTCTTCGGTCTTAGTCTTCTCCTCCTTGGGCTTGGGCTCGGGCTTGGTAACCTTGATCTCACGAACACCCTCGCAGACACGGACGAAGACATCGCCGCCCTCCTTGGGAACAGAGAACTGCGCAGTACGACGAGCGGGGAGAGCAGTCTCGGTGTTCAGGAGAGGCTTGAAGTCAACGGTCTCGCCAGAGGTAAACTCGACACCGATGGCATTCTGGAGGTGAGGGGTAGCGGTAACCATGGGGTGGATGGACTGCTCGATGTCCTCCTTGTCGAACTCCTGGATCAGGGAGGCCTGGATAGCGGCACCTCTGGGAGCGAGCTCGGAGGGGTTGATAGCACCAATGAAGGTGGAGGGAGCGAGGATGGTGGTCTTCTCGGGGAAGATGTTGCGGGCCAACTGGGCGATCTTGGGGGTGTGGGAAGTACCACCAGCGAAGATAACCTGCAAAAGTTAATATCGTGCTGCAAGCAGGACGAATAACAAAGGTTTAAGACGGAACGAACCTCATCAATGTCCAGGACATCGAGACCAGCCTTCTTGACAACCTGCTCGATCAGGCCGGTGAACTGAGCGAACACCTTGCCGGAGAGCAGCTCGTAGCGGGTACGGTTGACGGTAGAGCCGTAGTCAATGCCGTCAGCCAGAGACTCGATGCTCAGAGTAGCGTTGGTACCGAGACTGAGAGCCTTTCTGGTGGCCTCACCCTCCAGCTTCAGCTTGGCCAGACCACGAGCGTTCTCGCGGGGGTCAGTCTTGTGCTTCTTCATGAACTCCTTAGCGAAGTGGTCGATGATGATCTTGTCCAACTGAGCACCGCCCAGCTCGTAGTCGTGAGCAGTGGCAAGAGTGGTGTACATGCCACCACGGCAAGCAACGACGGCGGCATCGGAGCGAGTGCCACCAAGGTCGGCGACAACGACCAGCTTGTCGGTCACGACAGCCTCCGGACGAGCGTCGTAGGCAAGGACAGCAGCAACGGGCTCGTGGATGAGCTGCAGGACCTCGAGGCCAGCAGCGTTGGCAGCGGCAATCAAAGCCTCACGCTGAGCATCCTTGAAGTCGGTGGGGACAGTGATAACAGCAGCGTTGACCTCCTTTCCAAGGAAATCAGCGGCAGACTGCTTCAGACGGCGGAGATGGCGGGTTGTGATCTCGGAGACGGTGACAGTGTTAGGGGTCTCGCTGGAGGTATCGCAGATGGAGAAAGCAACGGTCGAGTCGCTCTGTTGAGGGTGGGCCGAGTTGTGGCAGGGAGTGGGGTCTATCGACTTGAAGCTGTGCAAGTCCGTCAGCATGTGCGCCTAGTTGTCGTCGGAACGAGTTGACATACTCCTTGCCAAGGAAATCTCTGAAGTAGGCAACGGTGTTCTTGGAGTTGCGGATAAGCTGGGCCTTAGCCTGAGTACCGTGGTATTCCTCGCCATCAATGTAGGAGAGGACGGTAGGGATTTGACGGTCTGATGATGGGTGAGTCGAAGTGTTCGAATACAAGACTTTTTCCAAAGCGCTTTAGAATATACTAACCTCCCTCCTCGTTGGCAATAACCTCAGCCTTGCCTTCCTATAATCCAAGTCAAGTCAGCGGTCTGTCGCAACTTTGCACAGCGGTGGTGACAAAGTCCCAATGGGGCGGGCATCCGCATGGGAAGGGTACAAAATTCACATACGGCGTTGATGCGGGCAATGGAGCTGGAGGAGTTGCCAAAGGAGATACCGATGGCGAATCTCTCAGCAGTGCCGTTAGTTTCGGAGCTCATCTTGACGGTAGGATGTGAGAAGAGATGAAGGGGATTGGGGGAGGAGGGAAGAAGAAGAGGAGGAAATCAAGTCAAAGTAAGTCGGGCTGCTGCTTCTCGAACCGCCGCGCTTCGTTTTGCCCCGAAGGAAAAAAATTTTGGCTGGTTTGCAATTGGCGGGCAGCTGTGGCTGACGGCTTATCGATAGTAAATGTGGCGGTGCAATTACAGTTCGGCAGTCATGCAGCAGTAGCGTCGATAATCTAATGGGATTGATCACTCTCCACATATATCAATTGATATGGGGAAATGAGAAGGCGATTGCTCAGGCACTACAGTCTTACAGCAAGTATACCTTGTATAGTTCACTCTCAGACCATCGTGGCGTCCGTCTCATCTTCAATCTAGATTGAGCTAGATCACGTGGAGATAAGCACCACTCGATAAGCCTTTGGATTTGCGCTTCTTTTTGCCCGTCGCGGTCAACCACTCCAGCATTCGTGAACCTCCAACACCACTGCAGGCCCCAGTGGTAAAAACACGCCCAACATGTCATCTCCCTTGATCCTTCTCCCCGGG